CTTCTCTCTCTTTCATATTTATGACAGTCTAATATAACATGTTCTATGGTTTCATATTTATCACAGAAATCACATTTGCCCGTTTTATGTTTTTGTATTTTAAAAAGTGTATAATTAAGTCCTGTATGACCAAATCTTAACCTTGTTATCACTCTTTCCTCCTTTCTATTTCTTCTTCCATTTCTTCTTTCTCCTACCATCTTCTGAATTTTATAAACCATCTTCCTGTTTTATCTTCATCCCACCTTTTTTGCCAAATTTCCATAAGTTTCTCTTTAGTAATACTCTTTCCTTCTGATTTACTTATTTTAACTATAAAACTAATAGAATGTTTAATTGCCCTTTTTGCCATTTTATCTGCCCACTCGTTTCCTTCTACCCCAATATGTGCTGGAACCCACACAAATGTAACTATCAGCCCCATGTTTCGTATTCTGAACAGTGTATGATTTATTTCTAATAAAATGTCCATCCTACTATCTGTTTGGTTATTTTTTAAACTTAACAATGCGGAGCTTGAATCTGAACAAATGACTGATTTTAACGGTTTTATATCTTCTACCCATTGTAATGCTAATAATATTGCCAACATTTCTCCTGTGTATACTGATAATCCATCTGTAATCCGTTTTCCTATTTTTATATTGAATTCTGGTACTACAAATGCTATTCCTAATTTCTCAGTTATTTTTGATGCATCGGTATAAATTTGAATATATTGATAATAGCTGTCTAAATATAACTGTACTAAATTGATATCTACCGTGTATGATTTATCTTGTTTCTTTTCCATTAGTGACATATCTACTGTTGCTTCTGGTAGAATCCAGGGAGGTATAATTGATATTGGTGTTGTTTGACTCATTTCTAAACTATTCATTTTAAATTTTTTTATTTTATTTTCAATTGTCCATCCAAAACTCCTCATTTCTTTCTTTTCTTTTTCCCAGCATGGATTTAAAATGTCCAAAGTTGGGTGATCCCCTTTATTTCCTTGTAAATTTAACCAGTAATTGATTTCTAATTTTGTTCTTCTTAAATCTAATGGCATTTCTCCCATTTCTATTTCTAATGCTGCTGTTGGTGTGGTTTTAAATGCTCCAGTACATAATCTTAGTGCCTGATGTTGGATAATGTCTAATTTGGTTAGATGTGTTTTAGCTGCTGAACCGTAAACTAAACAACCAAAGTCTATGTTGGATCTTATCATACTTGTGTAAATCTGTTTTAGTGATTTCCTATCTGCTCCCCAGTCACTGCCAGCCAAACATCTCAAAATATTCAAGATTTTCTTACATTTATCAACAACTTTTTGTATATGTATATGCCATTTTAATTTTTCATCAAACCATAATCCTAAAAATTTTATACACTTTACCTGCTCTAACTCTTGTTTATATGATTTTAATTTTATTTCCTTGTTTATTTTTTTCTGAGTAAATAACATTACTTTTGTTTTATCAACTGAGAATTTAAATCCCCATTGCAACGCCCATTTCTCTATTTCAATAATAACCTTTTGTAATTTTTTAACAATAAAATCAACATTTTTCCCTCGTTTCCAAACAGCTCCATCATCTGCAAATAGTGAACACCCCATGTCTTTTTCAATATCTTTAAATACATCGTTTATCATAATTGAGAACAAAAGTGGACTTATAATACTCCCCTGTGGAGTTCCATTTTCTACTTTATATTTTCCTGAGGTAGTTTCTCCTATTCTAACTTGTATTTTCCTACCTGTTAAAAAGTCTTTAATCCATTTAAATATTCTCCCTTTAATACCAATCTTGTATAATTTAATTAATAATCCATCCACCCACATCATGTCATATGCCTTTTCTATATCAAAGAATACAGCCACTACACTTTCTTTATTTACTTGTGCTCCTCTAATTTCGTGCTCTAAACAGAGCGTTGGATCGTTAGTGCTCCTCCCTTTTCGAAAACCACTTTGATATTTTGATATATATCCTTTACTATTTAGATAATATACTAGTCTATTATTAATCATTTTTTCCATTATTTTACATAAATTAGATGTTAAGGCTATTGGTCTGTAGTTTTCTGGGTTTGAATGATCTTTCCCTGGTTTGGCTATTGGTATAATAATTGATTCCTTCCAGCTCAACGGTAATTTTCCCTCCTCCCAAATTTTATTATATAGTTGTAATATTATATCTTTAGATTTTTCACTAAGTTGCCCTATCATTCTATACCAGATTTGGTCTTTACCTGGTGCTGTGTTTTTTGTCTTTTTAAGTGCATTGTTCAATTCCGTTTTTGTAAACTCAACATTTAACAAATTATTTGTTTCTTCACCGCTCTGTATAAAATCTTTATATTTAATTTTTGTATTTTCTCTACCTTTTCTTCCATTTTCACTAATATTATTTGAACTATGAATTTTACTGAATGTTCTTGCCAATATTTCAACTTTATCTTCATCTCTTATTACATTTGTATCATCTATTTTTAGAACAGGATAGTCAAACTCTCTTTTAATACCATTCATTATTTTGATTACTTTCCAAATTTTCTCTATTTTTGTTTCTTTCCCTATCGTATTACAGAATTTTTTCCAATATTCTCTTTTTGCATTCTTTATAGTTCTCCTTACTATTGCTTGTTTTCTTTTATAATCAATTAAATTTTTATAAATTGGATTATGTTTGAGTGTCTTAAATGCTTTATTTCTTAACTTTATTGCTTCTTTACACTCATTTGTCCACCATGGAACCATTTTCTTATCATTCTTACTCCCTGATTTCTTTATAGAATTATCTGCTGCTTCCATTATTATTTTACCAATTATTAAATTTAAATCATTTATATCCATACTCATGTCTACTTTTTCTAAGTTTATTTGACTCAAATATCTAAATTTAGTCCAGTCAGCCTTATTAAAATTATACTTTTTCCCAATTTTAATATTCCTATTATTTAAATTTAGCCCTACTCTTACTATTATGGGGTAATGATCGCTACCTATTGTAGATTTTTTATCAATAAACCAATCACAAATACCAGCTAAAACATTTGAGACAATTGTTAAATCAATAACTGATTCCACCCCTGTTCTTATATTGATTCTTGTTCCCTTTCCATCATTAATACATACTAGATTTTTCATTTCCATTATTTCTTCAATAACTTGTCCGTTTTTATCATTACATTTACCCCACACTGTACTATTTGCATTAAAATCTCCACACCAAATTACCTTCCCTTCCAAATATTCAGTTAACTCCTCCATTATTTCAATCGATAATGTTTTACATGGATTATAAAAATTTATTATTTTTAATTTACCTTCTTTTTCCCATATCTCAATTACTACATATTCTAGTTCTTTCCCTTTCCCCAATATCTGATATTGTATTCCTTTTTTGATTAATATTGCACATCCTCCTCCACTTCCCTCTGCTCGATCTCTTCTTACACTATCATATCCTTTAATCACAAAATCTAATGATGTTTTTAACCATGTTTCCTGAACACAAACAATTTCCGGTTTTTCTTCCAGCTCATCAATATAACCTTTAAGTTCCTGTCCATTAGCGATTAAACTTCTAGCGTTCCATTGTAGTATTAACATGAACCGTTTTCACCCGAAGGTCCTGGTCTCCCATCTTCCTCCAACTTTTTATTTATGTTCTCCCATGATCCCTCTTTAAATCCCAAAAACTTTTCAGCTCCTCTCACTATTATTTTAATCTTCTCAGTTTTGTGTTTGGCTTGGTCAGTGCAGTTGATAACATAAGCTATGAATAATATTAGTTTTTCCACTGGAATTGTGGCTTTTTCTTCTGTCTGTACTTTGCTTTGTTGTGTAGTTTGTCTCACTGTTTGTTTAATCTCTCTTGTTTCCTGTTCCTTCACATTCTTAACTGCTTCTGCATAGCTTATGTTTTTAGTTGTTTTAATCTGTACGATTTCTTTTGCCCTTTTCCTTACTTCACATCCTCCAAACGTGACTCTATGGCTCCCTCCACAGTTACAGCATTTTTCTTGTTCTTCTTTACACTCTTCTAATTTGTGATCTTCTCCACATTTTGGGCATCTTTGCCTCCCTTTGCAGACTGCTGCTATGTGTCCATATCTTTGGCATTTAAAACACCGAAGTGGTGGAGGTACATATGGTCTGACCTGAAAATTGAGGTATCCTATTTTGATGTTTTTTGGCAGCTCTTCATCTTCAAATTCAATAAGGATTGACAAGCTTCCTACTCTTTCTCCATTCACTGTTTTTGATAATCTTTTCAAGTTGTTCACCTTTGCACCCACAACACTTCTCTTGATTTTATCAAGATCTTCATCAAGAGGGATCCCATAAATCACTCCTCTAATTTTTTTATTTTCTCCCATGATTTTTTTCTCCAGAACAGTTCTTTTGCAGATACTCTCCACATTTAAAGCCTTATTCTTTTGTTCTATATCTTTACATATCACCAATAGGTTTCCGTCTCTCAAAATCTTTACCATTTCAACATCTCCAATTTTCTTTTTTATTTCTCTTGATACCACAATGGGACTGATTTTATCCTTTTCTTCCTCATTTTTAAGTTTTAATATTACTTTAAATTCCTCCCTCACAACTTTCCTCCTAACCACCCTTTCTTCTTCTGAGCTACTTCCTTCCAATTCCCGTTTATTACCTTGACTGTCACCTTTTCCCCTTCCTTCATCAGTTTTATTTCTTCCACGACCTCTCCCTCTCCCTCTTCCCGCAGGCGTCCACCCTTCAAAATCCTCGTCTTCCTCATTTCCTATCTCCATTTCCATCCGAACCATTCACATACCAGTTTATGCCAAATCCGCCTTCTCTCAAGTGATGTTTCTGCTTTGAATTTTTCCGCGTCCAACACAAACGTTCGCCACACGTGCTCAACCCTATCACACGTCCCCCAAGCGTGAGCAGAAATCGAGATGAACAACGCCTCTTCAGTCAGAGGAAGGAACGCGGCTCTCTGAGCACGAGACCCACTACAGAGGACCATGTTATTGTTTCAGCACTCCGTTTTATTTAACATGTGCTCATTTAACACCCGTCCCAACATTAACCATTCGCTGCCATAAAACACTTCACTGTCGTAACATCCCCCTTAAAGTGACTGTCGTAAAACACATTCTCTGACACTATGCAACGTGTTTCAATGAAATAAAACTTTCAATAAAGCTTTTTTTATATATATATGAACGTTTAAATACGCCGAACTTCTTCTTCGTCTTCTTTTTTTCTTCTTCTTCTTGTGAGGATTTATGGCGTTTGGCAAACTACTTAAAAGTGCATTACCGCCACCAACTGACAAGGGGTTAAACCATAGATAAGGAAACATACGGTGGCCGACAGGTGCAAATGCGCAGCAAAAGAGAAAACATGCAAAAAAAAAAAAAGACACGCTCACAAATTAAATGCGGCAAACAAAAAGCAAATAAAATGCAGCAAACAAAAAAGAAGACACCCCCGAATGAAATGCAGCAAACAAAAAGAGAGACGCAAACAAAAAAGAAGACACCCCCGAATGAAATGCAGCAAACAAAAAAGAAAACACCCCCGAATGAAATGCAGCAAACAAAAAGTGTTGAAAACGGAAGTGCTCCAGACCACTAGGGGGAGTCAAAGAAAATAGTATTCATTTCTATGGGACCAGATGCAAGATTCAGAGAAAGATATTTGAAAGAAAGTAAAGGTACGTATTACTATATTTCTTTTTAGATACGCCGTCTTTTATAATATTACAGAATAACAGAATAATTTATGGGTAGCGTGATAGACTTTGTGTCAGTCATACCGTTGATAGATAGATAGATAGATAGATAGATAGATAGATAGATAGATAGATAGATAGATAGATAGATAGATAGATAGATAGATAGATAGATAGATAGATAGATAGTGAATTCGATTTACGCTTTTAACTTTCGTATTTTTATCTTTTTTTGATTGCTCTTATTTTTTCACAGTGACTCTGTGAAGTATTATCCTCTATAATGAGGTATTTTTCGGGGAGGTTCTGTGCTTTTTTGTGCTGTTTTTATCATGCTGCTCCCACCGGGACACGCTGCCTTTGTTTACTCCAGAGAACAGCTGATCGCTCTAATGCCGGCCAGCGTTTTAGCCAGACAGCTGAAATACCACCCGAACTCTGGAGGAAAACACGCCGTGGTTGCAGAGGAGGAAAACAACATTATCACTTTACTTGGATTTATCACTTTAATTGGACTTTTCACTTTATTTGGATTTAGTTTTTACATATGCATAGATATACGTACAGATATATATGCAGAAGAGCTATATGTGTATATATATTTTATCTCTTTTTATTCTTATTTTTTTAAATCTTTATTATATTGTATAGTTGGATGTGTGTATATATCATGTAAAACTGTAACTGGAGCGTGTAACAAAAGTAATTTCCCTCTGGGATTATTAAAGTATTTCTGATTCTGATTTACCTTTTTTAGGTGGCCATGTTTTGCTGTTTCTGTGGACAAAATCTAGGAACAATTCAAGTTTTCTGTTTTTCATGTGGGAAGAATGTGCAGATCTTGGCACAAGCTCAAGACACTGGTAAGCAGTGATGGCATAGTTACTTGTAAAAATTAACTTTAATCGATTACTTATTACTACTTGAAAAAGTAGATTAGTGATTACTTTTTTTGGAAATTCACTAAGTTACATTATTTATTTTTCTCCACCACTTGTGAAAAGCTTGAGCGTTGCCAGCCATATGTATGGCTCCTCAACAGCCAACCAACGCATCGAAAGCTGGGGGTCATATTTCAGAAAACAAAGGTGAGTTTGTCAACAGTTTATTGTAATTTTTGTATAAATACCAAGTAGTAGACCTTGAAAAGGTGAATAAATTTAGTAGTCTTCTTGGATAAGCAAACATTTCAAATTTTTAATGCAACATTTTACTCGATTACCTCTACTTTGTCAGAAGAAATGAAGTACTTGCATATCTCTTAATGACCATTATGTTTTTGTGCTATATACAACTTAATTTTATAGTTTAACATTTGATATGGATGAATCAGAAGCTCAACATTTAAAGTATAACAGTTGATGTCTGCTTACTTTATATTTAACTTTGTAGGTCAACATATATTTAACTATTTTCATGACATAGAAACTAGTCCTATTACTTTCTGCTGATATAATTATCTTATAATTTTGGTTTATTGTTGATCTCAGTTCTGGATGGATCTCATGAACGATTTGAAGGAAAGACATCTCTTCAATGGAAGTCATGAGCACACATGCCTTGTGCGGTTTGTCTTCATGGATATGCTACAGAGAGATCTTGATGAATGCAAGAACAGGTGGCATAAACATACCATAAGACCTGTTAAACAATCTTGCTGTCCATCTGGTAAACCAGATGTGATGTATCATCTACCTCACAGGTAATTTTTGTTGTTTTTGTCTTCAACATCTGGTTAATTTAAAACCTCTTTGGGAACTCTAAAAAATAATTTGCCAAAACAAAAATAATGAACAATGTGTTAACAGTATGTCACTTTTTATTCTAACAATTTCAGATGACAATTTCTAAAATGTAAATTTAAATACAATTAATCATTTAGACAGGTTATAACAATAGTCAGAGCAGTAACAGTTTAGTGAAGAAATGTAAATATAACTAAATGTTTCCTGTATTTCTTCTATTCCTAGGTTTGGTGGAACAGACTGTGGTTTCCTAGTTTCCCAGGAGCCATTCGGACAGTTTGTGACAGAGACTAACAACATTCAATGTGGAGATGAACACCTTCAGGCACATTTTGAGAACCTCCAGAGACAGTGTGGCCTAGCACATCCACAGAGTTGGGAATCATGTGTCGAAAACTATATTAAACTGAAAAACATGGTGGACTTATAAACAAACAAGAATCCAAATTTGAAGGTCGCACACAAACAGTAAACAGTGTCATAACTGAACAGGTTTGACAAGTTAAATAGATAGCATTTTGTTTTGTTTTGCATTTGACCTTAATAAAGCCCAAACCCAGGGGAGTTTTGAATCCCAAAGTCCATGTCTTCTTTAAACTGATGATACGTCTTGGACATTGGTATTTTGATAGTGTTGGAGCAGGTGCTACTGACAGGAAAACGAGAAGTGGCCTGAAAGATCAGTTTTGGTGGTGGCAGAATTGAAGATGGAGGTAGTGTGTTCAAGCCGGTGGCAAACATCAGGACGTCCTGGAGAAAGAAACCCGTTTTTTGTTCTAGAAAAGAAGCAATGAGTTTATGTATCAGATATTACAATAACACCAGAATATAGCAATAAATCTTAAAGTCCTCCTTCTGCGTCAAGGAGAAGGTCTCTCCAGAATCCTAGCACTCTTGTTTCCTCATGTCGTCTGCTGCTACCCTTTTCACTGAGCTGAACCTCAAATATTTCCTCCAATATTTTGGATGTCAGCTGTTCCACTCTTGCACGCATAAATGGCCTGAAGATGGAAGCATGCTGCTCCAAAGCATTCTGGAAGTTCAGTGTTGAAAGGCCATCCTTGAATCTATAAAAAGTTTGAAACAGAAATCACCTTAATTATTATCAAAAGAGCTGATATTTTTCAGTAACACAAAGAACATTAATATGTCTAATCTATTTTTATTATTTTTATTTAGCATAGGTAATATTGCTGATGCACTGTGTGTGTGTGTGTGGGTGCTGTTGTAACCATTAATCTCCCGTTCAGTTCAACCTTATAAGCGGAGATACATACTTGATATTACTATAATTAAATAACTTGTAATTAATTATTTGCAACGTTCAAGCTTTTCACAAGTGGTGGAGAAAAAAAATAAATAATGTAACTTAGTGAATTTCCAAAAAAAGTAATCACTAATCTACTTTTTCAAGTAGTAATAAGTAATCGATTAAAGTTAATTTTTACAAGTAACTATGCCATCACTGCTTACCAGTGTCTTGAGCTTGTGCCAAGATCTGCACATTCTTCCCACATGAAAAACAGAAAACTTGAATTGTTCCTAGATTTTGTCCACAGAAACAGCAAAACATGGCCACCTAAAAAAGGTAAATCAGAATCAGAAATACTTTAATAATCCCAGAGGGAAATTACTTTTGTTACACGCTCCAGTTACAGTTTTACATGATATATACACACATCCAACTATACAATATAATAAAGATAAAAAATAAGAATAAACAGAGATAAAATATATATACACATATAGCTCTTCTGTATATATATCTGTACGTATATCTATGCATATGTAAAAACTAAATCCAAATAAAGTGAAAAGTCCAATTAAAGTGATAAATCCAAGTAAAGTGATAATGTTGTTTTCCTCCTCTGCAACCACGGCGTGTTTTCCTCCAGAGTTCGGGTGGTATTTCAGCTGTCTGGCTAAAACGCTGGCCGGCATTAGAGCGATCAGCTGTTCTCTGGAGTAAACAAAGGCAGCGTGTCCCGGTGGGAGCAGCATGATAAAAACAGCACAAAAAAGCACAGAACCTCCCCGAAAAATACCTCATTATAGAGGATAATACTTCACAGAGTCACTGTGAAAAAATAAGAGCAATCAAAAAAAGATAAAAATACGAAAGTTAAAAGCGTAAATCGAATTCTCTATCTATCTATCTATCTATCTATCTATCTATCTATCTATCTATCTATCTATCTATCTATCTATCTATCTATCTATCTATCAACGGTATGACTGACACAAAGTCTATCACGCTACCCATAAATTATTCTGTTATTCTGTAATATTATAAAAGACGGCGTATCTAAAAAGAAATATAGTAATACGTACCTTTACTTTCTTTCAAATATCTTTCTCTGAATCTTGCATCTGGTCCCATAGAAATGAATACTATTTTCTTTGACTCCCCCTAGTGGTCTGGAGCACTTCCGTTTTCAACACTTTTTGTTTGCTGCATTTCATTCGGGGGTGTTTTCTTTTTTGTTTGCTGCATTTCATTCGGGGGTGTCTTCTTTTTTGTTTGCGTCTCTCTTTTTGTTTGCTGCATTTCATTCGGGGGTGTCTTCTTTTTTGTTTGCTGCATTTTATTTGCTTTTTGTTTGCCGCATTTAATTTGTGAGCGTGTCTTTTTTTTGTTTGCATGTTTTCTCTTTTGCTTCGCATTTGCACCTGTCGGCCACCGTAGAAACAAGACTCGCCCCCAGAAAAAAAAAAAAAAAAAAAAAAAAAAAATATATATATATATATATATATATATATATATATATATATATATATATATATATATATATATATATATATATATATATATATATATATATATATATATATATTTTATCTTTATCGTCATTCTGCCAGTTTCTGATTGGTTTTCTAATCACGCTTTCAACCTTTTCCCAGTTTTAATCTCTAATGTCAAAATACTTTTCTACAGCTTTCGCTATTATTTACATTTTTTTCGGTTTTCCTTTTCGGCTGAAAAGATCAAAATCTTTCTTTTTTACAATCAATGAATCCTCTTCCCTTTCGGCACACTGCTCCAGAGGTTTTGAACTTTTCATTTGCTGAACTTTTGATTTGGGTCTTTCTGACTGGAATGGGATCCTTTTTGCAGCTTCAGTTGAAGTCTTCTTCACTTCTGGCGCTAGCAGAGGCTTTTATTTCGAAAAGCACACGCACCGGAAAGATTCCCTATAGATGCGGAAACAAAGATGGCGGAAGAGGAGAACCAGTTTGAAGAATGTGAGCAGATAGACTTTTTAAAAGACCGACATGTCCGATTCTTCCAGAGGACCCTGCAGGTGTTACCTGAGCGATACGCTTCGCTGGAGACAACCCGGTGAGTTGAGCTGAGGGCGGAGGGGAGCTCTGCTTCGTTTAGGAAGGTAAAGGCAATGGAGCTAGCTAGTAGCTGTGATTCACTAGCAGGTGATAAACCCAATTAATGTTAGTTTCTTAAACCAGCAGCCAGATTTTCTTGGCATAATTAGTTCATTAGGCAGATTTTATCTCTTTGAGTCCTTTTTTCTAACAGTTTATATCATATTATATTCAGCTATTACTCATTAGTAGCTCAATTAGCAGCTGCTTTGGTTTTAAATTATGATTAAACCTTTAAAAAAACGTATCTAAATTTTATTTAAAATAATAAATGTGATAACTGCTTGATTCCAGGTTAACTATCCTGTTTTTTGCCCTTTCTGGTCTGGATGTATTGGATGCCCTGGATGTGGTTGACAGTGACGTGCTGATTGAGTGGATTTATTCACAGCAAGTTCTACCCACTCAGGACAGTAAGTCCAACATCTACCTTTACTTCAACTTTATTTCCCTTTCTTTGTTTCCCCCTCCACACCAGCTTTGAAATGAAATAAATTGTAAAGTGAATTTCATTTGTAAGCAGAGCTTAGTAACAGCATTGGGGATTAGGAGAAAGATGTTTGACCATCAGTGATAAGCTTTGCTGATAAAGCTAAACAGAGAACAAATAAAGGCATGGGGGCTGACTTTTTTTTAAACTACAGAGTTATATTGTTCCTTTAAAAAAAAAAAAAAAAAGTCTCTATTGTGGAAAATGAAATCCTTGATTATAGCCAATCATTCATTGATGACAGAATAATGGGAGGTGGATGTTTGGATTAAGGCTGGTGCCTAATAGAAAAGAAAAGCTTCTCGTTTACATTTGATCTCTTATAATGCTAACATTGACTTTGGCTCAAAGCAGGGGTTTTCAACGTTTTCCAGGCCAAAGACCCCCAAACTAATGGTGAGATGGAGTGGGGAGCCCCTAATTATATATATTGTATGAAATTGTGGTATATTAAACTGGTCCTATAGTCACTCTATTACAGCTGAAGTAATGTAACGAAAGTAATTTCTCCCTGGGATTATTAAAGTATTTCTGATTCCTGGTTGATGGGACAGGTGTTGTGAATGAAACGGTGCTCAGCTTGAAAGAGCCCCTGTGTGTTGCTGAATGTGGGCATTGATGACTGAAAGACATCCTCTGCCTCCATTTATCTGTTTACCACAGTGTGTTGAATTCGTGTTAATTTTCTAATCAACCAAAACTTTCGCGACCCCCATGCATTACCTCTGTGGACCCCCTAGGGGTTGCGGACCCGCTGTTGAAGACCTCCAGCTTAAAGAATATAATCCTGGACAAAGCTCTGTAAATGGGCTCAGCTATATTTCATACCTGCAGACCTGCAAGGGCGCCTCTTATTTGGACATTTTCTTTGTAAGTCGCACTGGATGGAAACTCCAAGCAGACCCTATATGGAAGGACTATTATTTACCCTGCTGTTGCCTGTATGGTTGAACCGGTCACTTTTTTAATGCAGTCTTACCTTCCAGTTTAGATTTTAATACTGTTAGGCTTTTGTCAAGGTTACGATGCATTTATGCTTTGAATTAAGATTCTACAACTTTAAACCGAATTTTGAGGAACCAAAAAAAGAACAAGTTGTCGGTCGAAGGGTTTATTGTCCATAAATAGTGTGGCTGGTCATCCATTAGAGATGCCTTATGACATCTGCACCTCAACTTACTGTGAATTAGTTTACGAATAAGACAACAAACTGTTTCATACTTTCAGCGAGGCCTCTGCGTCGTCCCACTCATCAAACTTTTACGTCTGTCATGCGCCTGTTGTCCAACTTTGCAGACTTCAAACCATTTCTTGGTCTGCAGTTGTCTGTGCCTAACCCACTGCGTCTTTACAGCTGTTCATCAAAGAAAAGTATCACACTCAGGCTTTTAATGACTTGTTTGGGGATTGGAATTTTATTTATTTATATATTTTCATGTCTAACAAGCTACTCCATACCATCTGTTTAGATGCGCATTTCATTAATTATTGAAGACATCAACGGAGATGATGGAGGGATAGTCGTGCTTGAAAGGATGTTGTTTTTTTTTTTGCTTTTTTTTTGCAATAGCCATATGTTGGGAGTCTGCCAGTTTTTGTTTTAGTTAGATTTAGAAAAATAACAAGTTTAGAGACAACTGTGATTTCCAAATGGGACATTAGTATTAATTAACCCCATCCTCAAACTCGTTAAGACTTTCAGATTGTTGCTTCGACTGAATTAATCTGCATGAACTTAGTTGTCAGAAAATAAAATGTTAAGGTTGGTATGTGACAGAAGGAGACATTGGACTCCACACACTAAAAAATCATGTATAAGCTGCAGCTCGCTGTTTCTGGCCAGAAGGGGGCAGCAGACACCCTATGAATTTATCAATAAGAACCTCTCCTCAATCTCAGCTCAGAAGCTAAGTTGGAACAGAAAGGGTTTAAAAGTGAAATCTGCGGAGTCATATATTATTAAATTTTCCCCTAATGCTTATTTTTACACTAGTATGAATACTTCCATTTCTGCCTGACTCCTCTCTACAGAATCCAACCTGAACCGATGTGGGTTTCGAGGATCCTCACATATTGGAATTCCCTACAGCACTAAGGTAGTGTTATCATTACCCAGATTTGGTTTAAAGGTTGTACAAGTAATGTGGCTTTTTAGTTTTTAGTAAGCCTCTGTTACTTTTGTTTGTTTTTTGCACATGCCATCATAATTTAAGATTATATCCATCAGTAAATCTGCATTTTTGATTCTTCCAAGTAAAAGGAGCCCCCTACAGAGGCAGATGCAATATTGATGTTCAGTTGAAATAATGAGACGGAGATCTAATGTCTGCATCTGCAGCTATCAGCCGTCTCTCTGATTTCCCTTTCTTGCTTCTCCTTCAGGGTCCAGGTGTGCTCCATCCATACGACAGTGGCCATGTTGCCATGACCTACACCGGACTGTGCTCGCTGTTGATACTTGGCGATGACCTGAGTCGGGTTAATAAAGAGGCCGTTCTGGCTGGTCTCAAAGTGCTCCAGCTCGAGGACGGAAGGTTAGGCAACATGATTTTACCTAAACCTTTATCTGTGCTGGCATTTTCACTCTGACTCAGAAACCCCTGCAGCCTTTTTGAGCACAGATTTAACGTGGTCAGACTAGAGCTTGCATCTGCACCTTTTCTAGTTCAAAAGGCAACTAAAAGTGTGAGTTTGGGATACAAACTTCTGTTTAATCTGGAGTAGCAGCATGTTTGAAAGATGGAAATGTTCTGCTCACTGAGCCAATGATGTGTGTGCAGGTTAAAGGAAATTACGCTCTGCTTTCCCTGATCCTGACCTCTTTCTCTGTACTTTATGATTTCATGTTCTAACATCCTAACCCTCGGTTCCATCTCAACTAAAAAGCAATGCGTACACTTTTATTTCAAATCATATCTGTTTTGTTTTTCAATCTAGATCAGGGAGATCCTTATTTTTCCAGATCTGCCATAATTCATCATATGCTGATCTGGCAGGGGTAGTAGTATGACATAAATGTAGGAAGTAGGGTTGTCAAAAGTATCGATACTCAAAAAAGTATCGATACTGAAAAGTTGTATCCGGATACAATACTCGTTTTCAAAAGTATCGATACAGTGCTACCACCAGTGGCACCTAAACAGTCATTCATCTTATGTGCAGATTAGAGGAAAATGCACTTTCTAAACACTGTGATTGAATAATTCTACGCACTTTTCAGTTTCAGACTTTTTTTGTAAGAGGTGCAGCTGCTGAGAATTATTTTTGTTAAACGGTTTGGCTAGTGTCATTGTTATGTGTGTAAAGCATAGCCAAGGAAGGAACACTTAATTTTAATTTTGTAAGTTTTTTATCAAGCTTGCTTAATATTGTGCACAGCATACGACCTCAAAATATTGTTTATTGTATTTATTTATCTATTTATTGTATTTTGTTTATTAATGAAAACATTTCTGTTGAATTTTGGAGTCTTTGTTTTTATCCTTGTGGTATCGCAAAAGACATCGAGTATCGAATATTTCACTTAGTATCGGTATCGAGTTGAAAAGTTTAGTATCGTGACAACCCTAGTAGGAAGGGATGAATAATTGATGCTAATCGGATATGAGGAGGGTAATCGGTGCTCCTAAAGCTGGAAATAATCCACAAATACCCAAGTATGTGGGACATCTAGAACAAAAACTCAAAGACACTAAACTACCCTTTTTTGTTTGTTTTTTTGTCTGGCTTTCAGTTTCTATGCTGTGCCAGAAGGAAGCGAGAACGATATCCGGTTTATCTACTGTGCTGCTAGTATCTGTTACATGCTGGATGACTGGTCGGGCATGGACATCCAGAAAGCCATTGAATACATCCGGGGAAGTTTGGTAAGTGAGAGATTGCTGATGTGAATCCATCCATCAATGTACATCCATCCTTAAGATTAAATTGAGCATCCTTGAGGCGCAAAGAAAACCGGCCCCCTACAGTCACAAAGTGGCAGTTTGTCTACAAATAGTAGTAATACAAGTAGGGGAAAAAACAGAGTTGAGTGATGCATCATGGTCTTTTGGCGGCTCCTCTTCTGTATTAGTTAAAAAGAATAAAAGTCATAATTGTCTAACTGTCCTCTGTTTGTCTTTCTGGGCGTCACACACATCAAACATTGTTTTTCCCCTGAGCTGCTCGGCTCCCACGAGAAACTTCACTGTATATCAAGTTTAACATTTCAGACGGTGTATCGTTTCATGGGTGTGTTCAAAAACATCCTGTCTTTTACACATGAATAGACAGACTGTGAAAATGTTCAGCTTGCTTAGAAAAAGTTTAACGTATGCACAGCTTTAGCTGGAGACCCCAGGGCAGCATTTTTTACTTTGGTCTGAACTGATTAAAATTGGGACAGAAACAATCTCTTTTTCTTTTTTTACTTTCTCAGCTGTCGACTGTCTGTTGTTCAGATTGAGTTTTATTTATTTTGCTTAGACCAAAAGTTTACAGAGATCTCCTGGTGCTGACATGAAGCTGCTTTTCTCTTAATCGTCTTTAAATAAAAGCAGGTTTAAACAGGTGATGAATAACCATCATGCAAGGGACCTTCAGTGATATTTTTTATTTATTAAAGATTTATAACAACATCCTAGACAGCAAGTAGTTTGTATGAAATAGAAACAATTTCTATAGATGAATGGCAACATTGGCTGTCATTTTCTTAACACCATATTTTAGGTTTTTGGACATGAAGTCATGAGAAACGTTCAGTCTATAGCTGAGATGTAACACAGTCCCTACCCTCACCGAGTCTCCTGCTATGAGAAACAATCGCTAACTTGTTCCGGTACACAAAGGGTCAAAGGTTTTTAAGCTAGAGAAACAACGCATGTTAGATTTTCTAAAATTTCAAACATCCTGATGTCAGCTTTTTTTTTTTGGCTGCTATCAGGGAACACTTGTGGAGGCTAATGCTGACAAAGTATGAAATGGAGACCCTTAAGAGGTTTGTTGGTGGCTTTTGAAAAAAATGTTTTATTGTATCCCTAGAAGGACAGTTTAATGGTCCTACCTCCAGAGGAGACACCAGTCAGCTGCAGCCCTTCCCCTCCACTCTCCTTCTGAAAACCTCTGCCTCTTCTCTGCTGTTGCTGGCATTGAAATTTGCCTGCCTAAGTAATTTGCACAGCCGCCATCTTTATCTCCGAAAACCTGACTAATCCCTTTATATATAAGCTTGTGTAATTTCTTGTAAATAAAAATACACAGGAGGATGAGGAAGTGGCTGTCTTTGAAGCATCTTGTGACAGGCTGCGCATTTGAGAACCTTTGCCAGCCACAACAACTTTGTTTTGCTTTGGTTTGTAAGTTTTGGTTAGTTTTAGGGAAGTAAGATCAACCAGTGGGACAAACAGGGGAATATTTTGGATTAAAGGCCTTGGTATGGAAGTGCAGCGCTGTCCAAAGGCTTCTTTTCAATTCCAGTCAGCGATGAACCAACCAGTTGTCTGGAAATTAAACTTTCCCTGCTCTCTGGTTTAAAAGATCAGATACCAAAACCTCTGAATGCTCTTCCTGTTCATGAAATGCATTCAAACCTACAATTTCTGTCTTGATCAGACTCTCAACTGACAGGAAGTACTTTGACACAATGGACGTGTCCAAATATCTAAATCCCTCAATCACTACCGGTATATAGAGTGTATAGTTAACTTTATAGTGAACTCTGTTAACTGACCGTTAGGACAGATGATCGGTAATTTCCGCCCCCAGTTGGTCATGTAACTTCGCCTTCCTACATGATGCCTGCACCATCTTTGTTTTTTGTTGCCGCTGTCGGGTAGTGACAGCCGTAATGATAACACATAAATCAGTTGTTTTTTTTTTTTTTTTTTTTTTTTTTTAAGAAACCTTTATTAACAAATTAAAACATTAACAATGGATAGCTAATGGAGGTAGCAGCAATGCAATTCCTTCACATGAGCTCAAGGCATGGCTGAGTTGGCCATTACATACACATATCGGCAGATCCAGGGAAATAAACACTAATATCGGCCAGTTGATGTTTAGGCCTTTCTCTAATTAGTATTCTCATCTGCATCTTTTATCATTTGTAAATCTTGTTGCTGATATAACATTTCTAAATGTATTTCACTTTCTCCATAGTCATATGACAATGCATTTGGCCAAGGAGCTGGGAAAGAGTGTCATGGTGAGTGTGTTAATGAATCCAAAGTCAAACTTCTAACTATAAGGATCTATATGACTGTTTTCAATTAGATGGGGGTTTTTTTGTTTTGTTTTTTCTAAAAAAATAAATAATAAAAAAAATAAAAAAAGCACTTGCCCTTCACCACAAAAGCAGCAGTTAGGAAGCTATAAACATGTCCTTGTTTGTTTGGGGAGCACAGACTTCCTTCTAACTCTGTGATGTGCTCCTAAAATGTACATTTATCAAACCACAGCTGTTCCTGTGGGATGGACTTAGTGATTTTTCTCTTTGCTGTAAATTCAACTTCTGTGATTAAAGACTTCAGCGAGACTTTACTTCATTAGCCGAGCCTGCCAACTCTTTGAGGACTGATCTCAAATCGGTAGAGATGATGCGTGGAGGCTCATTACTCCGTCTACCCTTAAGGTGTGTGTGCTGGTTCAGGGCCCAGACCTCCCACTGCTGCTTTAAATCTGAACATTTTTGGTGTTATAATTTCACAGTTATGTGAATGAAACATAGAATTATAGATCCTCATGAGCCCGGACATGAGACTAGATTTTTGTGTCGATGTTCAGCCCGTAGTGTATATTTAGGACTTTTTTTCCCCCCCTTATTCTTTCTTTTTTATCCTGCAACACATGAATGATGCATCCTGAAAGAAACTTTTGGACATGGAAGTTTTAGAAAAAGGTGGACATGTGATCTCAAAGCTACGCCATCAAGTGTTCGCCCTCACTTGAAGCTTCTAGCAGCAGTAATTCCTGTTTAGTACAGTAACAGTGTGTAAGCATGGTGATCCACTCCAATGGTCCAACCAGCTGTCTTCTGGAGAGGTTTTTTGTCTGATTCCAGTCATTTAGATGTTAAATCACTATAACAAAACTTGTTTAAGGAATGAAAATGAAGAATGGAAACCTACTAAAAGTGCACCTCTCACACTTTTTCCTGCCAGTGGTCCGACATCCATGTTTTCTCTAATCATATCTTACCAGAGAACATCAACCCAACTACAATCTCATACAAAAACTGGTTCATTCATCCTAAAGACAAAACACCCAAAGCTGAGCGCTGCCGTTTATGTGGTTTAGACTGGAGAATATCTAATAAATGTAAACTTATGTACGTAGTTCTCTATCTTAGAACCCTCTGAAGCTGAATAAAGGCAGAGACATTAAGCATCCCAGACTGCAACTTTACATGAACTTGATGTGCCCAGGTGGCTGGACGTACTGTGCCATAGCCTCCCTGTGTCTGATGGGCCGGCTAGAGGAGGCTCTGAGTCAGCGGGAGCTGAACAGGATCCGGCGCTGGTGCATCATGAGGCAGCAGAGCGGCTTCCAGGGACGACCCAACAAACCTGTGGATACATGCTACTCCTTCTGGGTGGGAGCTACCCTGGAGGTAACAAACACTGAAATGTCTCCATGCATGCCTGACAAGTTGCCTACACATTTTTATTCTTTATTTTACTCATTTTTTTCCGATTTCCAGTTTGGAAATCAGATGACCTGTATTGAGATTTTTCTTTTCATTTTCCTTTTTGTTATACTCCTGTGTTGTATTAAATCAACGTCTCTTTTGTTTTATGCTCTCTAATTAATATTTACAACAAAATTTATTGAAACAAGTAGTATAGTTTAGCTAGATAATACATTGTTTGTTTTTATTTTATTAATAAAAATAGGAAAAATGTAGAGCGTCTGCTTTAAAGGATAACTTTAAACTTCACAACTATAAAAGAACTTGCTGCAGATTCACTAAACCTAATGGGAAATTGATATAAACCCTGTAAAATTTCTTTTGTTTTAAATGTTTTCATTTCATTATCTTTTTTTTTTTTTTTGGGTCATGTTTTCTGGATTTTTCCTATATTTCCCCCGCCATGATCGTTCTGTTTTCCTCCAGCTCTTGGATGCGTTCCAGTTCACCAACTTTGAGAAAAACAGGAGCTTCATTCTGTCCACGCAGGATCGTTTGGTTGGTGGCTTTGCCAAGTGGCCTGACAGCCACCCAGGTACCAGCAGAAACTCATGCCTTCACAGCTCTGAAGCTTTATTTTTGGTGCATTCAGTGAAAAAAACAAAGCAACAACAGCCACAGGAGCGAAGCAGAGGCCCGAATGGCATGTTTAAAGTTTAATGACTCCTCTGTAGCTTTAAGGATCTCATTTAAAGGACAAACAAGCCCGTGGTAGTTTCAGTACATTCATGTTTTTTCCCTTTTAGCTGATCAGTTTGTGCCGCCTCCTCCTCCACAGGTGCAGGGAGACGGGGAGGAGCTGTGGTGGCCAGTTTTACTTTAGATCAATGGCAAAGAATAACAACCCTCCTGTAACTCTAACCTTCAGCAGTCAATGCTGGTGAAGGTGTGCGTGTCCTTCCCCGCCCTCATATTGGCTATTTGATGGGGCATTTTGTTCTACAGGAATCTTTGCTCCTCATGTTACCAGAATAAGACAGGGAGGCCCGTGAATATAACCGAATAAAAGAGTTTTAGTGAAGCAGGAAAGAAGCAAACAGGAGACTAGTGTCCTTAACAGGAACTGGTTTAGGACAATGGTTTGGTAACACTGACGTGGGACAAAAGAAGCAGATTTGTGACACAATAAAAGCTATAGGGAGGGTTATAGTTCTGAGTTAAAATAAAAAAATAAGAGATTAGGAAGCAAAAGATTTGACTTGAAGTTCCTAAATCTCACTCACAGAGATCGCTGTTGATTCTTAGTGATTTTCTGCATTCTGGATGATGATGTGGGAAAATAGAGTAAATGTTTGTGTTTCCAGATTTGATATCTAATATTTAAGAATTTTAATTTTTAAAGGTCAGAAATATCCCCAACAGCGGATGTTTTTTGTAAACTAGATGTTCATCAGATTGATGGTAACAATATTTTTGATATAGAAATTAGGAAATTAATGTTTAGATAAAGGAGCAGCTAAGCTCGACTATAAGCCTGTTTGGGGTGTTATCTCGATGTAGACTGGTATTTAATTAAAGGAATCAAAGATTGCTAAAGTGTTATGGTAAAGACAATATTGAGTCAGAAATGGGACTTCTTTGCACACCTTGGTGTTAAAGTTGCCCTATTGCTGTTAGGTCTCTGAGCTGCACAGGGTGGTAGCTTTGGGTTTAGGCCTGCAGGTTAGCAAGTAGGAGGGACAAGCCACCCTCAATTATATTCCTCTTAACCGTCTCACAGTACTTCCCTCTAAAAGTTCTCCCTGAAAGCATCTCAGTGTCATGAGATGTAAACATGGATGAAGGTGTCCTTACTAATCAGGCCTCCCTTGAAACAAGGCCACATACTCATCTGTTCAACCTTGACTATGAGTCCTGATGGATGAGGCTAATGATGCTGTGATTGATTCTAATGTCTCTGTCCGATCATCTGTCATTTCATTAGAATTCAATTACTGCTCCATTATGGGCCTGTGCAGCTTTTATGTTCCTCCCAAGGGAGTGAAACGGTCAGGGGGCCAAGCTGTGTGCATTTACATGTTCTTAAAGAGGCATTACAACTAACTGCTATGCTAGGAGCAGCTGGAGGATTTTTAGAAGTCAGATAAGGTTATAAATTAAAGCATGCTGGAAGCTTTAGTTTCTTTGTACAGAGCTGTCACCTGTCTGAACTAGTTCTCTTTGTCCTGTTTCCTGCCTCTCCAGACCCTCTGCATGCCTACTTGGGGCTGTGTGGCCTGTCTCTGATCGGAGAGCCTGATCTGAGGAAGGTCCATCCAGCTCTTAACATCACCCAGAGAGCCTTTCAGCACCTCCAGCAGCTGCAGCAGACATGGAGGGGCAACGGTGGCAGCTGCATCGGACAGCAGGACGATTTACAGCACTAACTGTGAAACAGAGCCGGTCTTTAGGTGGCTGCTGCTGCTGCTGCGTCTCTGAGATGTTTGGCTTTCCAAGACTTTCGAAATCTAATGAAACTGCGAGGATTTAAACTCTGAGGCCCCAAGTTCAAGTCCATCTAAAGCAACATTTTTGTCGAGCAATATAGGCCACGCCTCTCTGCTGCCTTTTTTTTAAAACAAGTAGTCAATAAAGTTATGCGTCGTGGTTTGTGAAAGTATAATATTATGATGTGCCAGAAAGCGTAATTAACTGGAGACTTGAACAAACATCCGATGCCTCCATCTTTAGTTTATGGCCTTTTTAACATTTTTGAATCAACAGACTTTTCCTTAAGGATGCATTGCTTTACTTGTTTTTTTATGCTCTTTGCTGGAGCTGCACATAGCTGCTGAGCTTTTTGTAACGCGTTTAGACCCGTGGGACCCAGTCAGCTTGAGGACTGTAGTCCTCCCATGATGCAGCCGCTCTTCATGGGTCAATAGTTCCTCTGTTTGAAAGCTGAGACCATCCAACAGGTTTATTCTCCTTAGCTTCTCACTCCTCTGACCCAGGCTTTAATTTTCAATCAACAGTTTTAGATACAAACCTGAACTGCTTGGGTGACATTTATTAAAATGGGGCTAAATCTACCTCAGGACACAAATGATTATTTGGACGTTTTTAAATGGAGTTTTGGAGTAGATTAAGTCTGAAGCCTTTTTATTGGGATCTTATCGGACAGGAAACATTAAGTGGCTCATAATTCTAAAAAGGACCGATAATTGTACAACTGTTTAATATTTTTTCCAAGCAATTGGAATCTAAAATAAGGGATCGGCAGTTTAACTCACCTTCACTGCAATGAACAGCTGCTACTCTAGTTGTGTACATCTAAAAACAGCTGATTAAAAGTCCTTTGGAGCATGGCTTAAATCATCGGATGCAGAAGGTCTATAAACATAGATGTTTGACTGTGAACACAGAGCCGGTTGCATTCAAGTCTGGACTTTGTTGTAGGTCACTCTAACTTATTAGAATGGTTTAACAGATTAAATCACCTCCTTGTGTTAAGCGTTCTTTCAGAAACTGGACCTGGGCCCGTTTTTAAAAGGTTCTGCTTGCACCAATAGGTCCTCATCAGTTATTTCTCTGCTTTTAACTTCATTAATCCTCATAGGCATCACTATCCCTGATGAAGAAAAGCCTCCATGTTCCAAACATTACTTTCCCAGGCTTTTATTTTGCTGCGCCTCACAGGTGGCGTCCACAGCTAATACTTATCATGCCAGCATTTTCCCACCTGAGCAGCGGATTTCTGCAGCTCCTCTAAAGTTCCCATGCAACATTTTTTTTTTTTTTTTTTTTTACAGTTACAATCAAGGGTGAGCGATGGCACTATATATTTCATTTAGAACTATCGCATCAAGTTCAGGTTTTTCTTTGTAAAATTATCTTGAAAACAAAGTTGTTGTTTTGTTTAACGGCAGTGAAGCTTGGTTGTAATGAAGCAAAATGTAAAAAAGTACCAAGGAGTACGAATCTTTTCCCAGGTTCTGTAACACTGAATTCCCTTCCTGTAAACAGCATTACGCTAAGGAGGCTCTTTCGTGACACTTGAACTTTGCTAATTCACCTGCTTCCTGAATCCCTGTGAGGTCATTTCAGCTGTGAATCAGTAGAGAGGTTAGACAATGGCATCATAACCAGAGGAAACATCTTCCTTTGATGCGTGCTGCTTATTCTTAGTCCAGAAAGGATGCGGGATGAAATAAAAAACAATGACCATAATTGTACCTCCATGTGTAAGGAAGCAGAGAGCAGCTTTCCATTTGATAACCATCAGAACTCTAGTGATTATTTTCATCTAGCTGCTTTGAATACGTTTATTTAGCCCTCTCTGGAGGCCATAACCTGGGCGGAGGAGTCTTTCCACCTCTTGCCTTTGCATCAGGTTTCTGTTGTACAGCAAGAGAAAATATTTCCAGCTTTCACGTATCGCTGCCAGAAGTGGCACCTTTTTTTTTTATTTTTATTTTTTTAATGAGGCCACAGTCTGAGGTAGCACCTGCTCCCCACGCTGACACACGAGGACGAGATGCTTTGAAAGACTGTCGGAGATGCAGCTGCCCGTCGGCTGCATGCAGACATGTCTGCGACTGCGTGCAGAAACCAGATTAAACCTGCCGTCGCTTTCCAAAGCTATTGGGAGGAGAAAAAAGCCCCCCAAAAAAGGAGGAGGTGATGTAAGGAGAGGTAAATGAATAAATAATGCGAGCCATCTATTATTGACAGTAAGCTGTCGGAGGCTGGATTATGTTCTTTGAATCCAGACCAAACACTGGGCTGCAGTGTACAAATAATGCCCTAACGGAATTATTTGTATTTTTCATTTTTGCTTTAATCTGGAAAAAAAAAAACATATTCTAAGACTATTTTCTTAATTCCTATTCTACATATGTTTGCATCACCAAACCATAATTTTACTTTTCTTTTTTCATGTTATGGATGCTGGATCGAGTGTCAGACTGAATTATTTGTATTTTATATGATAAAACTGTCTGGTATTGTTTTTTTTTTTACCTTTATATTATAAGCCTGTTCTCTTAGACCACAACACGAAGCCCTGTAACCAATCGGCATTTGTCCAGTTTTCCTGCCAAGCTAATTCTACCCTGTTTTTATTTGTACACATAGTAAAGCATCTTTCTCCTGCTTGCCTTCTTACTGTGCCTAATGGACTGTTTGCAGTCGCTGCTCTCTGAAGGCTGTGCTTTCTTTTTTTTCTCCCCCTTCATGCCTAATTTAGGGAGAAAGAAGTTAAACCTCGGTTGCATTTTCAGATTTAGATCTACAAAAGAAAAATATAGTTCATTTACATCTGTCCAAAATGGATTTGCTTTTGAGATCAGATGTCATTGACTTGTTTCAGATTGATATAGTCTAGAAATATGTCAGGATTTATTTGAAGAGGCCACTGAAAGGCACCACTGCTGGTACATTTTTATTTTAAAGCATTTGCAGATGAAACCTTGGGTTCATCTGCATGAATAGAAGGCGCAGCTGCTTTGTGCCTCTAAAAGCTGTGAAAAGATTGGAGTGGAGATGCAGCCCAAACACCACATGCCATTTCATGAAGCAATGCTATCAATATTGTAATGATAAATCATGTAACAAAAAAAACGTAACGGAGTTTATTTTTTCTATACTTTATAAAAATGAGTTTAGATTGATCTAAATGTTTATCAATATCTGACATCTATTGGGCAACACAACGGAGCATTTACATTAGGAGAACTGGACCTGCAGGTGTTGGTGTGTGATGTTTTCTCATGGTTCAGCTTTTGGGTTTGGACACAGCAATGCTGATTCACGCTTGGCATGAAAACCTGTTTGTGTTCGAATAAAATGTGTACTAACTTCAACTTGTGTGTTCTTTGTTTTAATGGTGCCTTGCAAAAAAATATAACAATGTTTTTGTTTGGGAGAAAAGTTGAAGTAAAGGTAAACCTTGTTTTAAAAGTGCACTAACCTCATGATACTGCCACCACCGTGGTTCACTATAGGGATGGTATGAAGTGATGAGTTCTGTTTTCATCGACCTGTAGCATTTAGCATTTTACAAATAGCTGAAATATTTACCCAACATTTAAAAAAAACTTATTAATAAAATAATAAAAAAAGATGTTTATTTCATGCAAAGAGCATTGGCCATTTTTTAAACTCCTATTCCAAGCGACTAAAATTAGATCTGAGTGGATCCCCTCTGCTACATTTTTAAGATGTTGAATGGGAATAAAAGTCATTCTAAAGGACTTTTTAATTATCTTCCCATTTCTGTTCGACAAAAAACCCCAAAAGCAATTATAGCAATAATATGAACATTGGTTTTGTCAACAGATTCTCCCACATGAGCGGTGGATCTCCACAGCTCCACATGTGTGATGGGTTTCATGGCTGCTTCTCTTATTAATGCCCTTTCTATCCAGCCTGCCGGTTCATATGAAGTTTAATGGCTCTGAATACTTTTACCAAGCATAGTATTTGTTTTGACTGCTATAGTAGAGTTTAACGCCTCAGAGCGCTACGATATGCAACCACAGTTATGTTTTTGTTTGTGGGGAAAAACTGGAGCTCTTCATATAATCAGGTCAATAATGTGTGCATAGTTGAAGGCAGATAGGAGAAATATCAGCCTTCCTGATCTTGCTCCTCATCATATAAGCTTTTGTCACACTTTGTGTTTCTGTGAACAATGCACCAATTATAAGAGTAAGGATCTGTTTAGCTTTCTTCTCCTTTTAAGACCCGAAATAAATGGCTTATAACTAAACGCAGATTTTCTTTACACTTCCTACTTTGTTCTCTCAGCGGATTTTTGATAGAGACATAAAATGTTTTTTGTTGCATGCTATTCGACGTTCTTAGTTAAAAACATGAACTTAAACTGCTTTAAATGTAGTTAATCTGGTATTGGTGATATTTTTCATTAATTTCATTCTACCAGGGCATGTTTCTTCGTCTGGTTAAAAAAAATCCCTCAGAGGTTTCACATAAAAACAGCTTTTTGTGACTGATTTTCTAAATGCTTTGTAAGATGACTGCAATTATTAAAATTTGAAAACTCAAATAAAGTATCATTATAGATACAACATTGCTGTTGGGTAAAAAGAAGATGAAAAGTAGAAGGTAGATATGCAGAATCTTTTCATATGTTTGCTCTTTCGATTGAGCAAAAGATCCCAAATAATGAGAAAAGTATGCCTATAAACTATAATAATTAATGAGACAAGTGTCTCTAGTATATATTATCTACCGTGAGAATTTTTCAAATGGCTACTTTGCTTCAGTCAGGGTTCCTAATCGATTGCCTTCATTAGACTGGCCTAAAACAGTAATCTGAACCACACTCAATAGACCTTAAAATCTTTACAAAAAGACATGCAGCTGAATTCAATCAAATATTAAATCTGGCCATTTCTATAACTTTTGTTGACTCAATAAATCATCAAATGCTACTTGTAGAAATAAACTGATTTTGAATAGTTTAAAAGCAATTGGATCAAAATAAAGAAATAGGATTGAAACACAATGTTACAAGCAAAGGCTATACAGAAAGCAAAATAATGGAAGAAATGTGACATGTACTTCGTAATTCATCAGCCAGTGCAGATCTGTGTCCATAGCTAATGTAAATCTATAAAGATAGACTACCGTAAGCTTGCTGAGATCAAGCGATAATAAGGGGGGGTGGAGGGATAAACCTGGTCTGCAGCTGAGATTATAAAACATAACGGAGAATGTTCCTCAAGCAATTTCTCAAAACAGTATTATTAAACATTCGATATGGAATCAGCAGCTTGGAATCTGAATCCAACAATACCCAGGAGTGTTAACAGCACACACCTCCACTTCTCTAAATTTAAAAATGTAACCACAGCAGCTGAATGAACGGCAAAGCAGGCTAGAGGAGGCCCAGTCACTCCACTGTTTTTCTATTTTTAAACACACAGATGACAACTGGCTTGCATTTTTCCCCGATTTGCTTCAGTTGGCTCCCATTTTCACGCCATGTGGAGCAATGTGGTCTTTCTTCTTTACTAGGTCAGTGAGTAAGACCTAATTAAAAATCTGTGGAGGAGGGGGTTTACTGAATCTAACATTGAAGCACACATCCTAAGCTTCATCCCACCTGGGAGCCGCACTGAACCGCCATTGACTTCAATACTGCAGCTGACACGGTAACGTAAGACAAACATGGCAATAAGATACCCAGCCTGAACTGTGAGGTCCTGAATCCCCGATCTGTTAGGGAGTGAAGCAGCTTCTGCTTCAGAACGATTTAGAAACAGCAAAGCTTTAATCCTTCTAATATGAAAGCATATCTAACAATTATCTGCAGGTGTAGCTGGAATTCCATGTAATGATGTAACCTAAGTCATTCTGCCCTGTAAAGCATGCCAGTCAATGCTTCATATTAATAATTCACTCTGACAGAGCACGCTCTGTTTATGTGTTTTTTTTATGAGGCTTTAATGTGTCATCTCCGTTTGTACAACATGTTGGAACCAATATACTAAAGCACGTCATGAGCTGCCTGTGTTTTAGTGAAGAAACTAAACTCATATTTGAACATTAAATCCTAAATGAATAACCTAGATAAAATACTAATGTTCCTTGATATATTTTTTAGGTCTTTTTTGCCTTTTGGTGTAGTTAAAGGTCATGTTCTCACTAGATCCATTGTAGTGCATGATAAGTATTCACATATATCTGTGCAAGGACCTGATTATTACCTAATTTTTTAAGCTTTATTGAACAACTTTAATTTGGTATCTTGGACTCAGATGTCTGGATTCTCTGCCATTCAGCAGTGCCAGCTCGCACTGGGACTGCTGCCATGTGTGCTACAGCCAGAAACAAAAACTTCTGATTTTTTTTTTTTTGCATTTTCTTGCATTTCAATTCCATCATTCAATGAATTTCCCTCCAAATTCATAGAAAACATCTAGGTAGTACTGATGCTTAATACATAAAGTGTGTGCACCCTTTCCCAGAGGAGCACATTTTCTTTCTTTTCTTTTTTTTAAACCCCAAATTATCTCTGGATCCCTAGAAGCTTGTATATTATTGTCAATCTGTGAGCCCTCTGAAGGAAAGCCAAGCTGCGAGGTGTTGGTTGGATGTAACATTGCATTGTTCCATCAAAAAGCTAAAAGCCTTTTTCATGGACAGGGACAAACCTTGAACTATTACTGAAAACGGAGGATGTAGCTTTAACTCAATATAAAGCCAAAAGCATAGATTTTTAATCCACAAGCATCTACATTTACATAGTTAACAGAAACGTTGACCTAGTGGAGTTATCCCAAGATAAAAAATAAAAAAATAACTACCCTCAAAAAGCTTAGTACTCTCTCGCCACTGTGGAAAATAGAAAAGTATGACCTCCTCACTAAGATCTTTTTCTTGGGGGGAAATCCTATCCTGGCAATCTGTTTGCCTGATGGTTATTGTTGGAAGAAGCAGTAAAATAATGACTTCATTAAACCATTCTGGTTACTAAAACAGGTTACTGAAGCCTAAACCCATTTTATGTTCTTATGGAACCAGAACGGAGTTTATCTCATGCAAACACCACAACACACCTGCTGTAAGTGGCCTTTCTTCTATTTTATTTTTATTTTTTTAATTTTTATAAAAGGATGGTTCGATTTTTTTTTTCTGAAAAATGCAGAATTACTTTTTGCTAGTACTCTGCCAGTACCTTACGACTCTGCTTCACAGCAAAGGCCTGTTCGATAAATGGCAGAGTAGGTTGCAATCACATCTAGTGCGGATCTGTTAACCAGGCCATGATTTAAACTTCAAGAGGAGACCCCTTTCTGAGCAGGGAAAACTGATGGTGAAATATGGACATTTAAAGCATCTGTTTTTGTTACGTTTTTCTATTGTTTGTTTTGCCTCTAAAATTATTTTAAAACTCAATAACATTCTCATGACTGCTTCACATAGTTTCTACGTTGATGTGACTAAACAAGAATCACAGCACTTGAGTTATTTATCTAGTCCTGCTCCTGCTGCTTTGTGTCAGGGACAGTCCCTGCCTGTCCGCCGGCCCCCCTCTCATGCTCACTAGGGTGGATGGAATATGTCTGCGTGAAGCCATGAGGCCATCTGCTGAAGCAGAACAAGTGGCAATGCCAGAAAACATGAAAAACAGGAACTTAATCCTGTCCTCTTGCTGTCGCCCCACAATTGTGCTGCAGCCATTAAACATTGTTAACCGGCTTCACTGAGCCACACTGAGATACACCTCTGTACAATACCAAGGGTATGGTGCAGATGAGCAGTGTAATTGTCATGTGGATAAAAGTTATATTAATGAATGTCCTGTTTTAAATGTTGTGATTTGGCTCAAAATAAAGATGTGAACTGGGAAGCAACATGTTTTTTATTGTCATTTTGTATACACAGAGTGAATGAAATTTCATTTTGCACAGCTTTCAGAACATTTCCATTACATAAAGCAGCAGTGATCAAATGTAAACAGTGTGGGAGAAGAAATATGGTGCAAAAATGCATTAATGTGGGAGTTCAGAGCATTAAATACTCTATATTGATGATTTTATAAAGAAAAACATAAAAAACTTAAAAGGCTTAAATGATCAGGAGAGGACTATGGGGAATAAAAAGAAATAGCGGAGAGAATTGAAAAGCTAAGAGCTAATATGCTAAAGGATAAGTGAAAAATAATTTCAATCCAGATGAGTTAATTAGACAAAATGGTAAAGCTGGGAGAAGACTGGTGAGCGGGACTAAGGATTGGAAACCAAAGAAAGCAGAAGCCAAAGGGGAGAAGAATAACTTTGACCTAAGAGAATACACTTAAATACACAGAGAACAGAATACTATAAATATGTAA